CGGCGTCGTTTTATTGGACACGTGAGCTGTAGTGTACAGGGACAGCTCAATTATGATCATATATATTTTCTACTCCCCTATAAAGATTTCACTGTTTTTTATTTATGTTCGTTTCCTATAATTTATTTACTTTTTGTTTTTTTTTCTTAAATAATAGTTTTGTTATTTCAATTTTTCTTTTATATGATATGATTTTTAATATATATTATATATTTTTAAAAAAATTACTCCCTCCGTCCCGGATACCATGTTCACGTTGTCGTTTCTGTCCGTCCCACATACCATGTCATTTTCTTTTTTTGGAAAATGATTACACACTTTAATTAAACTAATTAGTTATCTTAATCTTAATTTATAATTATTTATATTATAGAATAATTATTTTCATTAATACATTTTTAATTATTTACTAATTACACCCCTTTTAAAATACCGTGTCTACAGTGTAGAAGACACGGTATCTGGAACGGAGGAAATAATATTTAATATAAAATATTATTTTTATATTAGTAACAAATTTGCTTCCACCTCATATAAAAGATGAAATTTCAATGAATAATATAATATCCAAACAAAACCTTAAATAAACTTAAGGTTTTCATGTCATAATAAATAAATAAATAAACAAGTTGCATAATAATTGGTAGAATTGAGGGGCTGGTGCTGTGGTGAGGTGGTTTGTTATTTTATATTTTATACTTCCTCAGTCACGTTACAAGCTTTTTGTATATTGATCTTTAATATTAGTTATTATATCAAAAATAATATAAATAAAAAAATGATAAAATATATTTATTAGTATTTTATAATACAAATATAATGATATTTTTAATTAATAATTATAAAAATATATAAATATTTGTAATGTTAAGTACAATGATATAAAATGTAAATATGAACTTATTAAGTGGACAGAGAGGATATTATTTGTAATAATAATAACTTATTTATATGTGTATTTTATATTTTTGTGTTTGATGTTAATATAAAAACTATATTATACTCCCTCCGTCAACAAACTAATGTCCTACTTTCTTATTTGGGACGTCCAACAATTATTATCCTATTTCTTTTTTTAAACACAAATTTTACATTTTTACCTTTAATTCATTTATTACTTTTAATCTCTACCATACACTTAAGGGCAAACTTGTCTATTCATAACAAAAAGACAATCACCTAAAAAATCGTGCAAATATATTTTAGGATAATAAAAATTGGACGGAGGAAGTAGTATTTTAATTTTTTATGAGTTATAATATAAAATAGGTAAATTGATTGTTTAGTCTATTGTTAAATTTTTTTTTTTTTAATTAATTAGAGGTTGTTTCAAATAGTCCCGTAAATAGAAAATTCTTGCATCCAAGTTTTCCGGCGTCAAAGATACCTATGTGGCACCCGCATGGCTCGCCGGAGGACATATATCCACCAGGTAAGTGACACTTGGTGGACACGTGAAAATTTTAAATTTTTTAAAATTTTTTCTATTTATGTTTCTAAGAAAAAGTGTAAAAAAAGACAAAATACATAACTTAAAAATTTTCAAAATAACAATAAAAAATTTTTTTTTCTACATGTGCGTAAGGTGTCGCTTATCTAGCAGACATGTATTCTCCGGCGAGCCACACAAGCATCTCTGGCATCGTAAGATTAAAAGTACGAAAGTTTTTCACTTACGAAACTATTTTGAGACACAACCTTCTATTGAATTTAATTTCCCGATTAAATAAATAGTTGATAAATATTTAATTTTTTTTTTTTAAATTTGTATAATTAAGTGTTTATTACTAAACATCAATTTTAGATAATATATATATATATTATGCATATTTTAGGTTAACCTAAAAAAAATTCACACAAATAATAAAATACAAGATATTTTGCTTATTTCTACTAAAAAATACAGAAGATATTATCCAAAATAAAAAAATAAAAATTATTGTGTCCGGCCCAAAATTTTGGACCCTAAATTTAAACTGTATCATTCAGCCCAGCCCAATTTTACTAAACGAAGCTATTAGTCATAATATTCTTTCCTGTATGTATATATCTATCTATTTCTTTTTTACATACAAATTTAAAATATTAGTATTTTATACAAGTACTGCTTTCTTCGTCCGGTAAAATTATACTATTTTTGTTCGACTTTAAGAGTTCTATTTACTTTTTACGCGTTGATATTTGAATATTAATTATTATATCAAAAAGTAGTACAAAATTAACAAAAAGTTACAAAAATATTTTCATTAATGTCTTACAATGTTAATAGAATGACATGTGTAAAAATATTATACAAATATAAGAATATTTAATGTTAAGAACAATGACGCAAAAGATAAATATGACTATTAGAGACTGATGGAGAAAATATATTTTATTTAATTAAATTGATTTATATTTATTAAATATATTTTCATAAATATAACTTATTAAAAATAAAAAGTATCAAATAAAATTAGACAAACTAAAATAAAAAATATATATATATGTCAACTATTACGAGAGAAATTGACTATTGTAAATTACTCCCTCCGTCTCAGCATCTGCTACAGTGTAGATACGGTATTTTATGAGGGGTATAATTAGTAGATAATTAAGAATGTATTAGTGAAAATAATTATCCTATAATATAAATAATTATAAATTAAGTAAAATTTAAAAAAAAATTAAAAAATTTAAAATAAGATTAAAGTGTGTAATCATTTTCCAAAAAAGGAAAGTGACATGATATGTGAGACGGACAAAAACGACAACGTGGACATGTTATATGAGACGGGGGGTAATTCTCACTATCTATGTATATGTAGAGTGTGTTCTTTTAGCAAACTATATCAAATTTCAATTATTCTTTTTTTTTTTTTGAAAACATAAATCAAATACCTATTTTTTATTTTTTATATTATACTAAAGATTAATTTTATATTCAGAATATTTATTTATATGGCATCATACAACTTTTCAAATTAAAATTTTTTAATATTCAAATTTCAAATCAAATTTCAAAACCCCAAGCAAACATACCATTAAAAGCCTTAGAAAATTAAATAAATACATTATAATTAACTGCATTGTTAAAGAGCACAAGATAGACTTTGTAATTGACAATTTGTTAAACATAAACATAATAATAATAATAATAATAATAATAATAATAATAATAATAGCATATTGTTTTTTGAGAAGATTCCAATCGATGTTAGTATTAATTTTTTTTCCCTTAAAAATACTTTCGAACCATATGAATAATATTTAATAATGATAGTAATTACTAGGTTGGGCCGGGTGTTTACCCAGTAGGCACTTTCGGATAGCGGTTGCGGGTTCCCACGTCATAAAAAAAAATGATAGTAATTATATCCCGTAAGGGATGGTCTAGTGGTGTAGGGGTTGGACTTGTGACCGTGAGGTCCCGTCGGACATGGTTTGCAGGATATTAGGTTCGGTCAGAGGTTTACCCAGTGCACACTTTCGGGTAGTGGCTGCGGGTTCACACGTCATAAAAAAAAAATGATAGTAATTACGGTACGGTGTTGATTATAGTTAGCTTCGGCCGGGAGTTTACCCAGTGCGCACTTTCGGATAGCGGCTGCGGGTTCCCAAGTCATCAAAATATATATATATATTAACATGTTTTGTAAGAAATGACTTGACGGTGTGAGGACGAGCTTGCGATCGTGAAATCATGAACGCTTTTAGATCTTGTTTATCATACATAGTTCGACTATTAGGTTTCGCTCCCTTAAATTTTAAGTATAATATAAAAAATAGTAAATAAATATTTGATTTAATCTTTTTTAAAGATTATTTTTTAATAAATTATATAAAATTTCCAAAATTTCCAAACAAACAGTGTAAATTATAAATGTATATATATGACCGCGGTTAGAGTCAAGTCTGCACCGTATTGACTTGCCCAAAGTCAGTATACTACTCTAATATATATGTATATTTACGCTGAAAATTAATAATATAAGTTGTGTTTTTTTGTGAATTTTATATTATTCAAGTTTTTTTTTTTTTTCAAAAACATTAAGTCAAATAATTATTTTTTTGTTATTATACTATAAAAAATTTATTTTAGATTCAAAATATTACATCATCGTCTATTTATATCATATCAAATTATTATTCAAATTCAAATTTTTACTATTAAAAAATCGAAACCCAAAAACACGAACCAACAAACAAACATACCCTATTGTATTATAATATGCTGTCTATGTATTGTATATTATATTATCATATATTGTTATTTATGTATAGTATGCTTGTATATTTTTGATAAATAAATTAAATCAACACTATATTGATTTAATCCGTCGGCACCTAAACCGTGTATTTATATATTTGGAATACTCTTATGGTGTGTTTGTTTGGGGTTTGGATTTTAAGTTGGAATTTGAATAATATTGAATTTGAATAGTTGTATGATGTGATATAAATAGGTGTTGATGTAATATTTTGTATGTAAAATTGATTTTTAATATAATATAAAAAATAAAAATAGATATTTAATTTGATATTTTTGGGAGAAAAAAATAGAATGAACAATTGAAATCTAATCCAATGCCCCAAACAAACACACCCCCCTAGGTATTATGCATTCATCATTGTTTGAGCTTCTAAGAAAGATTCCATTACAAAAATAAATAAATAAATAAATAAATAAAAATTAAAAAATGATTTAACCAGTGTGAACACGCGACAGTTACAAAAATAAATAAATAAAAAAATAAAAAAAAAATTGATTTAACCAGTGTGAACACGCGACAATTACAAAAATAAATAAATAAATAAATAAAAATAAAAAATGATTTAACCAGTGTGAACACGGGACAACAAGAGGCATATATTATTATTATTACATACTAAAATATATTTATCTTTGTCCAAAGTTGATTGTATTATTCATCAAACTGGGATAGATAATTTTTTATTTTTATCATTTAATATCAAAAAAATAAATTATTACCAAGTCCAAACCAACCCTATAATTTAAGGTTCATCCAATCCAATCCATTTATTCATTCCTTAGCTTCTTCGAAGCCAAAAAAAAAAAAAAAAAAAAAAAAAAACTGTCGAAGAAACCTTTAGAGGGAGAGAGATATAAACGATGGTTTCTCTTATAAAGGTATCATTTTTGTTTCTTTACTTTGTACATTATTACATATCGAATTGTGTTTTTGATCTTTTATGTCACTACAAAAAAAAAAAAAATTGTTTTTTTTTGTAGCGACAAAAAATTTGTAATTAACAGTCATTTTTCGTGAAAATACTTTTTTGCCACGATTCTATTATGAACTATTGCTATAATATATGCTCACGACGTAAAGAATTTTTATAAAAACTTGTGTTTATATACTCACGATTGTTTATGAGATGATTTTCAGAAAATTTGTGTTTGGTTAATTTATAGTCGCTTCTTGTATTTAAATGGTGATTTGTTGTGATATTTTATGAAATGAAATCGTATGTTTATATATTTTTTTAGATGTTACAACCATAATAATCCCCTATAAAAATATTAATTTTCTCTTATAAAATATTACATTAAAAATTATTTATTTTTGTCCGATATTTTAAAAAGTATGAGAAAGCCTCACCTAATTTCTATGCGATATTTTCTAAAGTACGGAGACTCGTGAAGTTTTTAAATCATGATAGAATATGATACAAACTTCTAAAATCATAATTGAGTTGTAAGAAATCTTGAAATATCGCTACATAGATCAATTCATCTCCAATTTTCTTTCTTATTGTTGAATAAAAAATTCACCTTCATATATATATATATATAATACTAGTCGATTTAGAAAAGCAATTGGCCTAACCGGATGAAGAGTTAACACCGAAATACTCGATTATATAGACATACATATGGTAACTTAGAGACAACCTAGATAACATGAAATTGATAATATTGTATAGGATGATGTCATTCAAGCGTGGTACATGGATAATAGCGATATGGACCAAAGGCTTCCTCATCATCGAACTCCCAACGAGTTTGTCCCATTAGAAAAACTCAAAGGTGTGCTTGTGCAAGAATTTTTTTTTTTTCTTCTCTCTCTCTACGTATATATATATATATATATATTATTTATGTTCATATTTAAGTCATGGAACGATCCATTGTAAAAAAATCATCGAGCTTTTCTTTTATTTTGTTGAACTTTCAGAGCTTGGGGTGCTTACTTGGAGATTAGATGCGGACAATTATGAAAATGACGAGGAATTGAAAGAAATACGAAAAGCTCGTGGATATAATCATATGGTGCAAAAATATAATTTAGAGTCATTTTCTTGTGATGCACAATGTTTTAACACAATTTTATAATATTATTTGATCAGGAGGTTTATGACATTAATCCCGAAAAATTTTCAAAGTATCTTGAAACAATCGAAGCATTGTATCAAGAACATTTCCATACATTTGAGGAGGTTAGCTTTTGTATTTCCGGGAGTGGTAAGTATTGTTAATAATATTCAAGATTCGATTTTATTTATCTTCATATATATATATACAAGGCTATGGTATATTCTTATTGCAATAACTCGATAATATAAATAGAGGGTGCACATTGTACAAACACGTATTGTCTTAAAATCTACGTCGCTATTATATTATAAGTTACAATTACTAATTTGATTTAAAGTTTACTTATCACTTGAATTAAGGTTATTATGATGTGCGAGACTGTGATGAATCTTGGATCCGCATAAGTTTGAAGAAAGGTGCCATGATCATTTTGCCTGCCGGGATCTATCACCGTTCTACGACTGATTCAAATGATTTCTTCAAGGTAATATTTGCATGAATACACAAATCAAATGTGTGTTCGTTTTGAATTTGGTTTTGAGTTTTGGGTTGAATAATAGTATTTATAGAGAGAATTACGGATATTGCATAATAATAAATAAAAGAACATATATTTACATATCCAAATTCACTAAAAATGCCTCTTTTTTTTTTTTTTTTTTTTTTTTTCTAAAAAACAGATTATGATACTTCACAGTGATGACTTTATAAGCACTCCATATAATCGGTCTAACGAACATCTTCCTGAAAGGTACACATAATATTTCAAATAAGAATTACATGTGGAAAATTAAAGGGTAATGTAAAATTATGAATTCATTGTTTAATTTTTTATATTTTTCAAATATGCAGAAAACAATATATCGACACATTTGTCAAGAAGATCAATTGATGATGAGATGTTTCACAAATAAATCAATCTGAAATGGGACTTTTAAGAGCTAAGTATTGATGGAAAATGACTTATGTTGTGCACAAGTGGCTGCCTATGATAAATTATGTTTGTTTGTCTATGGATAAAATATTTTCATTTTGTTGGTTGTATTATTTCTATGTGAGAAACTTTGTGTTATTTGGTTTTTAATCATTTTTCTTTTTTAAGATAATCATCATATACCAATTTACTAAGTAGCAAAAAATAAATAAATAAATAAAGCAAAAAAGAAAAATTAATAATAAATAATAATAATAGAAGAGAGAGTGAGAGTAAGAGTGAGAGAGGTAAAAGAATATCAATTCTGATCAAACCATACATTGTACGATTAAACAACTTTGTAAATTAATTTTATTATTTTTGTGTATATCTCATAAGAATATGTATTATTAAAAATCTTTAATTATTATCGACGGTCTATTGTATTATTATATTCTAAAATAGATAAATAAGATGTGTTTAGAATCTATCAAAATCAATGTTGGAGACACAAAGACTTTGCTCACCCAATGTTTTTAAATGAAATGATTTTGTTTGTAATATGAAATTTTTTTCAAAAATATTAAATATATTATTTTAAGTTGAGTTTTAAAGTATAAAAGTGCTACTAATAAAAAGAATATATATATATATATATACACAACAACAACAAACTAAAGGAATATAGAAAAACTCCAAAATATAAAAAAAAATAAGTATATTTGTTATTAACTCTTTTTTTTTTTTCCATTAATTGATATATTTGATATGAATTTCTTCTCCATAATCGAACAATAAATATTGTCACACGTATAAGACAATAATATCATAAAATATTAACAATAAAATATAAAAATCGTAAAAATTTCATAATTACATTCTAATAAATATTCATCCGAATCCAAGAAAATTACAAAAAAAATAAAAAAATATTAAGAAATAAATAAGGGAACATAAAATAAATAAATAAGAGTAGATGATGGTATTTTGGAATGATAAAAAAAATCATAATTCAAAATTAATTTAATAAAATCATAAAATACTATAAAAATATTTTAAAAACAATCTTCTCCAAAATTAAAATAAATAAGAGATATATATATATATATAAATACTCATAGTAAGACCATTATGTTTTTCTTTATCTATATAGATTCAATATAAATGGTAATTGTGAAGAAAATATAAATAAATACAATCTTAGTTAGTGAAAAAAAAAAAAAAACAATCAAATATAGAAACACAAACAAACACATTTTTATAAACATATGACATAAAAGACAAAATGCAAATATACAACAACAAATATTTTTATATTGAAAAAAATTATTTTTCTTTTACAAAACAAATTCACTCAAAACCTCACATTATCAAACAACCAATGAATAAGACCCTTTATATATATATATATATAAATGCATTAATGTGTTCGGTTGTAAGATTTTTACAAAATTTTACTATTCATCCCATTTTTTCCCCCCAAAAACATCAAATCAAACACCTATTTTTTATTTTTTATATTATACTAAAAATCAATTTTACGTTCAAAACATCACATCAACATCTATTTATATCACATCATAACTATTCAAATTCAAAATTTTTACTATTCAAATCCCAACTTAAAATCCAAACCCCCAAACAAACACACCCTAAAAGTCATCATAATTCAAACCCCAATTTATGCCTAAATATATTCATTATTCAATAATTTCATTGAATAAGACAATCATGCCTATTAATTATGAATAATTAAATAAAACAATTTTATCAAAATTTTGAAACAATAAGAAAAAAAATATCAAGTGTCAAACTTACATTGATATCTTTTATATACAATAATAATAATAATAATAATATACTCCTTCCGTCCCCCAACAAGGGTGGCGTTTGCTTTTTACACGTAGATTTATGAATATTAAGTATTATATTAGATTGTATTAAAAAAAAGACAAAAATACTCCTATTAGTATTGTATAATATAAAAATAATGGTATTTGTGTAATATATTGTAAATTTAAAGGATATTTATTATGTGAAGTAGGTAGTACAATTACTAAATTAGGAAATGATAACCTTGTTTTGGGACGAACGAAAATGGAAAATGGTAACCTTTCAATTGGACGGAGAGAGTATTAAAATTTAAATTTTAATATATATTATTAATTATAATTTCACTAATTATATTAATTATAACTATATAATATTAAAAGTAGTTGGGTTAACTATATTAATTAATATAATTTTTTTTATTAAATATAATATATGGATATATATTCCATAATAAATATATTAAATTATCTATATAATATATATGATAATAATAATTATAAAAATAAAAAAATTTGAATATTAACAAATATATTTGTTAACTATAATTTCATTAATTATATCAATATTAATGGTAACTTATTAATTATATTGATAATATCTATATAATATTAATAGTAACCTATTAATTATGTTAATTAATATAATTATTTTTATTAAAAAATAAAAAATTTAAGAAAAAAGTTTTGATTTTGTGAGAGCTACACCAACCTCAAATATATATTATGATTAGTCTATCTTTTAATAAAATTGAAATTTTAAAATGAGTTATGTTGGCTTCCTAATGATGTTTAGTTTGTTCATTTGCATTATAAGCTGGGGGAAATGATTCAACTGACAATGGCTGATGATAAACCATCTTATGACTTTCTAGAATTATTCTCCCTCCGTCCCATGTAATATAGGTGTATTATCGTAGATACGTGAATTTAGGTAAAATATAATTAGTAAATAATTAAGAAGTGTATTAGTAAAAATAATTATTATTTAGTAAAAATAATTATAGATTAAGATTAAGATAAATAAATAGTTTAATTAAAATTAAGAAAACTATAAAATTTAAAATTTAAAATGCGATTAAAGTGCATAATTATATTTCAAAAAATAAAAAGGACAAGTTATATGGAACGAACAAAAATAGAAAATAGGGACAAATTATGTGGGACGGAGAGAGTATATTCTTTTCCATTGCATTTACCATCAGATACTACATGTCCGTAAGAACTTTAACAAGTTCTTTTGCATTTTTTTGTTGAGTAGATATTTTTATGTATTTTTTGCACTCACTATGGTAGACTAGTATATAGTGCTTTCATTCAAGGATATTTTCATTTTCACTTGAAATTTCATCCTACCAAAGTTGTGAAGAGGAGATTACAAAAAATGAGAGCGATGTACCATGGAGTGCATCTGACATTGTTAAGTGAGTTTCTCTTTTCTAACTCCTATTATCACTTTTGATACAAGACTTTCCAATATAATATCAATAATCATCAAATTCTTGGAGTAAAATATATTTAAGATGCTTTTATTTCATACATTTTACTACTAAGACAAAATATGAAATATATATTGCTTTTTTTTTTTTTTTTTTTTGGTGTTATTTAGCAAAATGAGTGTATTTATTAACCTTTGTAAGAAGAGAAGTTATTAGACAACAAATATTGATTGAGATCTGAAAGTTGAAAGTTGATTTAATCCTTAATTCTTTGTTGTTTTGGATGAAATTTTTTTTTTTGTGTGAGATCTCTTTTAGTATTATTTTGTTTTACTTTAAGAAACTAATGATTTTATGTCTTTTCCATGCAATTTATTTTAAAGTTTTGGCAAAATGAGATGTATGATAATTTAGTATTTTTCATATATGAATTATTCTATTTTACTTGCTTGATTACAGTACAATTTAAAAAATGATATATTTCAAATTTATTATTCATGTATTTGAGTTTTGTGTCTGTTAATACATGCACACATATCCTCAAGATGTTTGCATTAATTCAATATATTGGTTGAATGTTAAGATATATATTATAAGCACCAAATATACAAATACATCATATAATATGTTCAATTATTTTGATAAAAATAAAATTTCTCTATATTCTCAAATTTATATTTTAAATTCCGTTATATTATCCGCTACCACTTTCTCGTCGGGCCTGGTTTGCAGGGTATTAAATTCGGTCGGAGGTTTATTCGATGCGTACTTTCGGATAGCGGTTGTGGGTTTCCACGTCATCCAAAATTTTTTTTTTTTTATATACCTATACCATTTTAAAATATTTAATATATCAACCATGCATACTATACTGTAAATATTGATATAAAAAATTGATAAATTTGATATATGATAAAAGTCCATATTTAAAAAATTTCAATGTATCAATTCTTGAGGGGCTAGAAATACCTTCTCCAAAATGGGGACAAAATTGATAATGGTGCGTATGAAGAAAGCATGATTACACATTTAATTTTGTATTTATGGTCCATTGTTACTTTATTTTTTTATTTTTATTTTTTACATCAAATCAAATATTTTGGGTTTGTTTGATTTTGATATGAAATTGAGATAGTGATTTAAATTTTAGTTTAAATAGTATTCTAATATAATATTTTGTAAAATAAAATAGTATATTTTTATTGAAAATAGTACGAAAAAAATAATAAATTTTTTTATTTGAAATAAAAACTAAACAAGCCCTTTATCTTTTAAAAAAATTAAAAAAATACAATAAAAAATAAAGATTTGTTTAGTTTTTTTTTGTGTTATTTAATTTTCATAAATTATTACATTTTTTTTTCTATTTAAAACATATATCCAATCATTATTTCACAACATGAATAAAGAAATAAAAATAACATGAACATAAAAATGCAAGTATAATAATATTTTAGTTTAAAAAATTATTTATTAAATATAAAACTTTTAAAAATGATTTTAAATGTAAAAATATTAATATAATAATTTTATGAAAAAATTAATTTATAATCAGAAACCTACAAGAATACAAGCAGCTTTTGCCACCTTCACACTTACAAGATTTTAATCTGTTTTTGTTTGTTTGAATTTATATTATATTTTATAATAAAATTAAATATAGATTATAATTTTATTTTATTCAATATATTTTACTATTTTTTTTATTTAAAAATTATATACATAGTGCATTTCTATTTCCAAAAAATTAAAATAACCTTCATCAATATATAACCTAAATTTGAGATATGCTCCTTTGAACATTTTTTAGGTTTTAGATTAAATTCTTCATTTAATATATATATATTTTTTAAAAAAATAATACTAAAATAGTAGTAATAATCAAATGATAAAATATATATAAAGAAAATTAAAGTCATAACAATGGTGAATAATTAAAAGCAATGGTGTTTTGCGTTATACATGTTTAGTTTAAAATGATTTTTTTTTTTTTTTTTAAAATATAATTTACAGACTGCTAACTTCGAACGAAAATTTAGTCAACACACAGTTGAAGGATAGTGACGAGCGGATTTTCATATTAAAAAAAAGTAAATTATATAATACGTTTTATATTTTAGTAAAAATGTATAAAGGGTGTGTTTGTTTGGGGGTTTGGATTTTGAGTTGAGATTTGAATAGTAAAAATTTTGAATTTGAATAGTTATATAATGTGATATAAATAGGTGTTGATGTGATGTTTTGAATATAAAATTGATTTTTCGTATAATATAAAAAATGAAAAATATGTGTTTGATTTGATATTTTTGGGGAAAAAAAATTGGATGAATAATGTAAATCCAATCCAATCCCCCAAACAAACACACCCAAAACATCTTGTATTTTATTTTTTCTGTGAAAAACTATTGTGTTAATATAAAATTTGCACAAAATATAATATTTGTTTAAAACTTATATTTGATTGGAAATATGAACTCAATTATGCACATTTTATACAAATATAAGAGATAAAATATCTTAAATATTTTTTTTTGAATAAAATAAATAAATAAAATAATTGATTAATTCTTCTTTTTTGATAGTTTTTTTGGAGACATTATTATTTGATTTTTACAAAAATTATAAATAAATAATTGATCAATAATTTATTTATTTATTTTTATTAAAAAATTATTTTAAATAATTTATATATTTTATTTGTATAAAACATGCATAATTATGTCTTTATTTAGAACTACATGACAAAGAAAGTGTTATGTGCAAATTTTAAGTTAACAAAAAAGAATTTTACGTAATAAATAAAACACATGATATTTTGTGTATTTTTACTTAAAACAAAATGAAGTTTTATACTACCTCCGTCTTGATATTTGAATATTAATTATTATATAAAAATATAGTACAAATTAAGGTAAAAAACAAAAATATTTCTATGAGTGTCTTGTAATACTATTATAATGACATTTGTCTATAAGAATATTTTTAATGTTAAGTACAATAACGCAAATGGTAAATGAGATCCTTAGAGCCGGACGAAAAAGAGTATAATTTATTACTCCCTCCGTCCCATATAATTTGTCCCTATATTCTATTTTCGTCCGTCCCACATAAATTGTCCTTTTTATTTTTGGAAATATAATTATGTACTTTAATCGCATTTTAAATTTTAAATTTTATAATTTTTTTAATTTTAATTAAACTATTTACTTATTTTAATTTTAATTTATAATTATTTTTACTACATAATAATTACTTTTACTAATACAATTTTTAATTACTTAATAATTATATTTTACCTAAATTTTCGTATTTATACTAATAGTCCCATATTTTCAGAATGGAGGGAGTAAAAAAAAAAAGAAAACTTATCACCGTCAATACCTTAAACGACGTCGTACAGGTGGGTCCTGCATCCAACTCAACCTCGTAGGCAGTGACACAGTCATCAGCCAACGCATCCACCGTCCACGTGGCGTAGAATTCTGAAGTTATTATGAATGGACGGACCAGATACCAAGTTCTGCTGTTCAATGTTCCACGTGGATGATGCCACGTCAGCACCGACTCCCGTAAAAACACTACAGCCAGCCGGCTGTACACAATGACATCACACCTATAATTCTTCTCTAATTTCGGTGGAATATTTTTCATGTCTATCTAAATTTTTACCAATTTCTTACTCCCGTGATTAAATTGTCATTTCACCAAACATGAATTTAAAATATTTACTATTCAGATAAAAGAAAAGTAAAAAAATATATTTTTTTTACTAAAAAAATAAAATAAAATAAATTTAAATAACAATAAAAAAACTTGCGAATTAGCTCGCTTAGCTCGCCATTGGATTGAATTGATAAAAGTTTAGTCCACTCTCCGCAACATATTGATCCGCAAACAACCCACTGATTTGCAGACTAGGGTGAATTGTGGGTCAACTCGCTCCGTTAACCCATTTTCACAAATCTAATACTCTCTCGGTCAAGTAAGAAGTATACATTTATTTTTAGCGTGGAGTTTAAAAAATATTAATATTTTAACGATAGTGGATAGATAAAACTAGTATAATGATATTTTTATCCTTTAGATGAATAGTGAATTTCGGGAAAAATCTTCAAAATAAACACACTATAATGGTATTTGTAAAAAAAATGAGATATTTAATAAAATTATTACTTTATAATGGGACGTTCTAAAATAGAAATATGTATATTTTCTAAGAGGACGAAAAACGTATTTTATTCGTTCCAAACGGAAAATATTTAAATAAAAATTTTCTAAGAGGACCGAAAAACTTATTTTATTCGTTCTAAACGGAAAATATTTATTTTTTTAATTTTTGTTTATTGTAAATAATAAGAAAATAAATTAAAAATACCGACACTACAAGTGGAGGGCAATTTCGTCAATTCAGAAGTCTTTCCTATCTAGTTGTAATGTATACCGTCATGGAGTCGTCGTTTCACAAAATCCAAAGCACCCCCAAAATATATACACACATTTATATATTTATATATTTATTTTAAAGTTTCCGTTGAAAGCTTCGTTCTCTAAGTTGTGTTGTATTCCCCGTTTCAGATCTAACCACATTGCTACAGACGCATTCCTACGCCCAATTACACGAAAATTCCCGTCTCTGTCGGTGCTACGGTGACGGAAAATGGGCGGAGTGCCATCAACGCCGCGATTAGGCGGCGGAGCGCGCCCTCAAGCTACGGCGGAGTACTTAATTGGAGAGTTCGTCGGGGAAAAGTCATTTCCCCTCGCTTCCGATTACTGGCAGAAGCTTCTGGAGCTTCCTCTCGACCTACGCTGGCAGGCTCATCGCGTTCGCCAAGCTTGCCAGTTACTTGGTCAGTGCACTTGCTATTGTCTCTATGTTTGTAATTATTTAGATTTCTCTGCCACTGGAATTGTAGTTCTATTGTTGGGGTTTAATTGCTTACTGATTTTGTTGTTTTTGTATTCTATGGTGAATTCGTGTGTTGTTGGCGGTGGTGGTTTGAATTTGACTTTGATTGATTGGTGTTTAATTACGCAAATTTTGTTTGGATAGGTGGATTTTGATGTTGCATTGTTATTAAGATTTTTAATTTCATTGATCCCGTGCTCGTTGAGTGTCTTTAGTTTTGAGGTTTTGTTTGAGAAACACCCCTGTAGGAGTTTTTTCATTATGTTTTATAGAAATGCTTGAAGTGAAACATCTATATATATATATATATGTACACATATATTTATATGAGGAGAAATTGAGTTCTGAGGAAAGTTATGATAATCTGATTGCTGTTATTTATGAGTAGAGTTTGCTGTAATTGCCTACGTGCCTATTTGTGTTCGGCTGTGCAAATCACATAAATTCAATTTTGAAATAAAATATCTGTAATTCCAGTATATTGTTTTCTTTCTTATCTTTCTATAGTGCCCTAGCTTTTGGTCAACATTACAATTTTGTTTTTTGTTGAGGGGCAAAACCTTGAAAGTGTCTTTTTCTAAGATAGCTGGAAGTGTCTACTTTATTGGTTTTGTACAAAGATTTGTGCAATCTTGCATTTACATTTGTAGTTTCTTCTGTGGACTCAATGGTTTTAGGGTTTCCATTTTAATAGTTGTTCTTATACTTTTGACTTTAGGATTAGTATTTCCTAAATCATTGAATTAAACCACTTGCTTTGTCATAGCATTGCATTTGAATTCTTCACAATCATCTAAGATTTGTTTACTATTGGCCATTGGGCTGACCTTCTTACGTTTTTATTTGCACGCAGCCATGAATAATTATAAAACCAGGCATCTAGCGAAGATTTTGATTCACCTAGCATGGTGCTTGCAAGAGTGTGTTTCTACATCTGATGGCGCATCTCTTGCTTTCCCAAAAGCTATTAATGGGTTAATTGTATCATCTGTCTTTCTGAAGTATCTGATTGAGAATTCTAAGAGCGACAACTTTGAGGAACTGTACTTATCTCTGGATGAAACCGAGTCTATTCCAAATAACTTCTCAAAAGGTTTGACATTTATGTTTATAAACGATTTTCTCATTGTTCACACATTCATGGTGGCTTTAGGCATTGCTTCATTGCTTTAATTATCTATTTTATGTTAAGTTCATTTTTGTTTCAATCGTTAACAGTCACTTTAGTTGTTGCTTTATCTATAATCTTTCTATTTCTTAATGGTCTAAGTTTTGGACAATCAAAATTGTTGGTTTTAAGTTACTGACACCAACTTTTAATTTCTTCATGCCTACCTATCTCTGTTTATGTTTCATCATTCTTCTTATCCTGTGGAAATTTTTGTTGATTCTTGTCATTAACACCCTTTCTAATTATGCCATCCTTATAAGGCAAAAAAATTGATTCATGGATTCTATAATAAGAAAAAATCTTCAGAACCAGAAGAAATTCTTTTACATATCATGCATTTACCTTGTATGAAGAAGTTTCTATTGAAACTTACTAGGCTCAAATGTCATCTAGGAATGTCAGAGTGAGGTGTCGTGACTGGTTTAAATAATTGTTAGTTACTGAGCTTGTTGCTTGACAATTTGATATTTTCTCAGTTTTAGTGACATTCACTACATGATGCTACTAGTTGGCTCGTGCTTCCCTAATTTAGAAATCCAGAAACCTGTACTTATTTCATTTCTTTGCAATCTTTGGTGATCAATCAATAAATTGGTGAGGTGAGCCATGCAACCCTTAATCATATTAATGCTGAGTATGTTAGTATCATTGGAGTCCTTAGAGATGGGTATATTTTCACAAATTGCAGTGGTATAGATTTTAAAACTACACTTAAAAAAATTGTTACACTATCATATATATTAAATCACTATTGCAATTCAGTTATGATATTCTTTTGCCACAATCCCATTCTACTTGTTTTGATCCTCAAGTATCTTTTTTATCTTCAAAGCAGGTCAACGTATTGAAGATCTCATCATGTTCAGTGCACTTAGCTTTATTGGCAAAGTTGATGTTAGGTATGCTGTAACTTGTGCAATATGTACATTAATACTTCGTGTGACATGATCCCAGTAGTTGAATTGTTATATGCAGCCCTCAGACGCATCTTCTGCATCAAGAGCTTCTTAACTTCCTACTAATAGCCATGTCAACACAGCTTCTCTCGGGGCCAGTACCAGGTCCAAGTGATGTACATCCTTTCATAGATGCAGCAATGGGCCAGGTGAATGTCAAATGACTTCAGAAGCTTAATTATTATTCAGTTCTTTTCCAATTAATTGGTTGGTGTTTGATGTGTTTCCGCAGGAAAGCACACTGATTAATCTGGTTGTGTGCAAGTTAGTACTCAACTACATGCAGTTTCCCTTAAATACTTTGCCTTCTACAATAATCTCTGAAGGAGATCAGCTTGGTGTTCTTAAAAGAGTTAGTTTTGTAGCAGGTATTGCTGCAAAATTCATCATCCATCTGTTCTGTTTCCATGTTTCTTAACTCTTATGTGGTATGGATGTGTTGATTTTTGGTTGAATCGGTGTGTTCCAATTAACTAATTTGAGATAACTTATAGTGATTATTTATAGAAGGAAGACTTGTTTGGTGTCAGAATTTGTACGCCTGGTTCCCTTTTATTGTTTTCAACTTAGAGAGGGCAACCCATCGCTTTCTTCTTGTATCCAGATTGTTGTTGCTGTTCAGAAGAACTTTTCTCTGCTTTTTATCTCTATCGTCCTGACTGAAGTATTATCTGTACTTGCAGCAAACTGGGTATTGCTGCCCTTTAACTACTTAGTCAGCTCAGCTGGTGAAGCTTCAAAGAGTCGATTATCAGAAACAAGTCTTATTGTTTTGCTGATTCTTAGTTATTACTATAGATGTATTTCAGTGGAAGGTATCAAGGATAAAAGTAACAACACCAGTTCAGAGTCTTTCCCAAAAGAAGAAGCATGTTTTTCTGAAAACCCTTTTCGGAAAGCTGTAGAAAATGCTCGAGATGTTGAATGTATGATCTTCTGCAATGCTATAATTATTATATTAATTGATTATAGTTTAGCCTGCTAAAGTGGATGTGGTTTGACTGCAGTTGATCGCGTTGACATTGAGGGAAATGCACACAGTGGTCCTCTTGTGCGGTTACCATTTGCTTCTCTTTTTGATACACTCGGAATGTAAGTGATTAATTTTCTTATGTCTACTGGAAATTGAATTCTTATTGTTAATTTCTGTGAAGTTTGATCATTGGATCTTATTGATAATTTCTATTGAAACCAATAAAAATTGTAAAACCAATACAATTTGTTTAATAATATGAAAGCTCATTCTACGAACGTTGGTTGGAGGAGCTTGGTTAGTGTTTACTATACTGTTGTGATTAGCAGTCTGACCTCTCCTACAACATTTGATGGAGCCTAGAACATGGCTTTTTTCTTTTATTTGATTTACATTTTCTTTTGTTTGCATTAGCATTGATTAAGTATAGTTTTTCCTTTATAGGATTCACATAAAAAGTTGTCTTTATATAATAAGTTGTCTTTATAAAAAACAAAGGGTGTGTTTAAATATATTCTGGAAATATTTTGGAGTTTGGGTTGGTTTGAAAATAATAAAAAGTTAGAATAGATAATAGATGTTTGAAGTGACGTAAAGATGTGTTGTCTATGACATTTTGAATAAAAAAGGTTTTTGATGTAATATTTTAAATGAAAATAGGTTTTGGATGTGATATATATTAGAGAGAATCGTTCTGGTGAATTTGTACAAAATAAGTTTAAAAGCATAAGTAAACAGAATGTAATGTTGAAAATTGCAGGGTAGTTCTGTGCACATCACCGATCCCCTTGTGCACTGCTAACAATTGCAGAGCATAAAAAAAGTTATGTTTTTGGTTCCTTAGTAGTTCTAACTACCCAATCCATTTTTCTCCTTCCAGGTGCTTGGCCAATGAAACCTCTGTTCTGTTGCTTTATTCCCTGGTGCATGGAAATTCAGATTTTCTGGAATACGTATTGGTGCGAACAGATTTAGATACATTGGTATGACTAGAAACGTCTATGTTCTTTGATGTGATGTGATATTTGATGTGATATTTTGATGTAAAATTACTTTTTAATATAATATAAAAAATAAATATTTGATTTGATGTTTATTAGGGAGAAAAAATTAATGAATAGCGAAAATCTTTCAAAAACCTCCAACCAAACACAAAAGTTTCATTACTTCGTAAAGGTGTTGTATAATGTAATTGGTTGTTGCAGATTTAAGAGAAGTTTTTGGTGGCAGGATATAAATAGCAGTGTTTTCTCCTTGTTCTCCTGTTGCCGAAACGTCCCACCCCCAAGTTCAGAATTTCACCCTGAACCTTATTCAAATAAATTGTTAGAAGCTGGAGTTACTGTCGAAACTTAATGTTTCACTTGACGTTATGTTTATCATTTTGTTTAAAAAACATGGTGTGTTCACTTGTATTTTCTTTTCCATTTTTGCACTACATTATTTATAGCGAAAAAGATTTTTCTACCAAAATACATCACACATCCAACACCTATCTTTTATTTGAAAATTTCAAATCCAAAAAATCGAAAACACAAGCAAACAAACCTATATATCCTATTGAAAATGTCATTGTACAAGTGGAATCTGCATCGATTCTCCCTTTCATAGAGGAATAGATCATGATTGTTTTTAATGGCCTTCTATATTCTTCATTGGTATGAACTGTATGTATAATCCAACTGGCCAGACTTGTTTCTCATTTTCTTTGTTATTTTTCGATGAACAGTTGATGCCCATGTTGGAGACACTGTATAATGCCTCGAGTAGGACATCCAATCATATTTATATGGTGCTTGTTATCTTTCTCATACTGAGCCAAGATTCTTCTTTCAACTCCAGCATTCATAAACTGGTAAAGTTGTTTTATTCTCCCTATATTAATTAAATACATTTTAGGGGAACTCTGAGTTGGTATTTATTCTCCCAGATGCTTCCCAACATTCCATGGTATCAAGAACGCCGCCTTAATCAGACTTCTCTAGGTTCCCTCATGGTGATTATTTTAATTAGAACAGTGAAGTACAATCTCTCTAAGCTGCGGGTATGTTTATTTATTTATACTTTACTATCACTATTATTTTTTATTCATTGCCTGGCAAATTTAATTATTTTCTCGAAACCATTACATGTGTTTGGTAATCTTCTTCTACATGAAAATTTTGGAACTGTGGTTACGCCCATGATTATGTATTTATGTTCCTTTCCCCCCTCTTAAATTCTAATTTTGTGGCGGGAGCGTAATCATATTCTTCTCAGCAAATTACAAGTTTTTTGCTAAGTCATTGTTTTTTCAAATATGGATGTTGCTGCTACATATGGCTGCGGAAGCTATGATCGTAGTATACTGAAAAAAATTATTTGGTCATTTATCAATTTAACGCTCTTATTGTTCCTAGGATGTCTATCTACATACAAATTGTCTTGCGATTTTGGCAAATATGGCACCGCATGTTTATAGGCTGAGTTCATATGCAGCACAGCGGTTGGTTAGCCTTTTTGATATGCTTGCGCGCAAGTATGCCTTTTTACACCTTCATCAGCATTCTCAATTATTATTGATGCTCCGTACGGGGTTGACATTCACAATGTGATTTATTCTTTTAAACATCTCAAATTTTCAGGTACAATAAATTAGCGGAGATTAAAAACGACAACATGAATGCACCAGATGGCGATCTAAGAGGAGACAACCTTCCGGAGGACCCTGTAATGAAGTTTTTTATAATTATAGCATGACCGATTAAATTTATTTGACGAGGATAGAATATTACTGACAATCCTTTTCTATTTCGCAGACAGCCGAACTGCATATCTATACTGATTTCTTGAGGCTCGTTCTGGAGATAATAAATGCAATTCTAACTTACGCATTGCCACGGAACCCAGAGGTATCATAGAACCGTTTGATTAGCTTTAAAAGATATGGTTAATTTTATTATGTTTTTATGTCATTGACATATGTAACTTTCAGGTTGTTTATGCAATTATGCACCGACAAGAAGTTTTTCTACCTTTCAAAAACCATCCACGTTTTAATGAGCTGTTGGACAACATATTTTTGGTATGTGCTCAGACATTAATATTTTTAGTCCATGAGTAGATTTACTTATAATGAATGATCCATCGCTGACTATACTTTCTTCCATTACAGGTTTTGGATTTCTTCAATAGCCGAATCGATGCGCAGAAAATGGATGGAGAGTGGTCGGTAGAGAAAGTACTTGACGTCATTATCAACAACTGTCGATCGTGGAGAGGCGAGGGGATGAAGGTATGGAATCAACTAATGTTTCTTTTCCGATCTGGATTGAGTTTAGAGGATTGAATTTTTAATTTATATAATATTGTGATATTTAGTAAGAGGAAAAAATATACTCTCTCCGGAAATTTTATGTGGTTTTATGTGGGCATAGAGACTAAGAAATAATGTTATTTTAATGTTGAAGTAGGGTATGTAAAAAATAAATTGGGGGTATTATATGAAATTTACAAGGAATTGATAAAAATACTCCATCCTCCCACTCTAAATAACAGTTTGGGATTTTGTAGTAGAGTAAGAACTAATAGTATTTTATTGGTCAATGAAAATATGAAAGATGTTTTTGACATTTTTGTCTGACTATGTGTAAAATAATTGTATGTGTAATGTAATGATGTATTTGTAATTTAAGTAAAAATTAAAGATATTTTGGTAAAATAAGAAATAGATATTTTTTAGTGAGACTGAAAATAGTAAAAAATGTACTTTGAAGTGGGACAGAGGATGTATTATTTAGTATAGTAGGATTTTATAAATAGTATTCCCTCCGTCCATTAAAATTAGCACACTTGGGTTCGGCACGAGGTTTAAAAAAAATGAATATTTTATTGAAAAAATAATAGGTAGTTGAGGGTATTTTTGAAAATTTAGTTAAAAATTAAATTAAATAAAGAGAGAGAATGTAATAAAGTCAGTGGTATTTGTTGTAAATAAGTGTTGAATGAAAGGTAATAATTAAAGTTGATTCGTTGACTTTGCCCAAATTAGTAATGGAATAAATTAAATGGACGGACTAAAAAGAAAAGTAAGAATAAATTTGGGGGACGGAGGGAGTATATGCATAAGTTTAGCGGAGGCGTAAGGACTTTTTTTTTTTCGGAGAATGTGAAGTCCAAATAGTAAAATAGATAGAAACCGAAAAGAAACACACCTTTGATATTTTGTGTGTTGCGTTGTCATCTATAGTCTAATGTCTATATACGTTTCTGTTTAGATGTTTACTCAACTACGGTTCACCTACGAACAAGAGAACCATCCCGAGGAATTCTTCGTCCCATACGTGTGGCGTTTGGTACTGTCTCACAGGTACACACTTGTTGTTTACCTCTACGCCGATTTCATCTCTTAACCTAATTTCATAAACGAGATTCATTCAAACAACTCTTAGCTGTATCTGATAAATGTGCCGTCGACATTGTGTTATGCAGTGGCTTAACTTTCAATCCAAGCAGCATAAATCTATTCCCAGTGCCGGTAGATGTATGTTTAACTTCTCTTCCTTAATAGCCCTCGACACATTTAATCTTCGATACAACTCGTGTAAGAATCACACGAAATTGACTGCAGGATTTGAATGAAGAGGAGGAGGAGACGGAGAAGATCCCAAATGTACAACTGAAGGATCCTGCACTACAATTAGACGCCCCCGTGTAGCGCGCCGATCGAGTTCGCTGTACATACATACATACAAACGTACGTATCTACACATACACACCTGAAAATTTAACAAATTATCAAATTCGTTCATATGTTTTTGTTTATATGTGTGACGAGTATATATGAAAGGTCTGATTTTTAATTGAACTTTATCAATGTAACATTTTTTAATTTTTTTTTTTTTTTTTCAAAGTTTGCAATAGATAATAATTACCTGTTGGCCGTGTAGACCTTTGTCGTATATAACGCTAATTTCGCTCGCAAAATTACATATATCAATCCACTATTATCTCTTATGTTGGGGACTCTTGTTTGCAGACAAATATATTAATGATGCATTTCAATAACAGTTCGAGCTTTTAGGTAAAACGGTCATTCTGCACATTCAAAATGATACGTTTCTCTAACAGTTCGAACTTTTGGGTGAACGGTTATTCTGCACATCCTAAAGTCTTAAAAAAAAAAAAAAAAAAAAGCCACATAAAAAATACTTTTAATGCTTCATCAATTTTAAGATTTTGTTCTATTTTTATTTCGTCCTGAGCCCATGAAAGATAAGGACTCGGCTTGAAAGTCGATCACAAGCTAAGTATATCACGCGCGCACTTGCGCCATCTCTTATTTAATATACGATCCGATTTGATTATCAATTGTATTTATCGGGATGTGATAAGAGGTAGTTCTCGGCCGCTTTAAAGAAGGCTGTCTCGCTCTTCTTGGCAATGTCTTTGATCCGGTCTTTGATTGCGCTGTGATGTTGCTCCCCTTTGGTGTAGTATGTGTTGGTGTACTTATACACCGTTGATCTCCCCTCCGGATGACTTCCCGGTTCGATCTTTATAACTTTTTTGACTGAGTCCACTAGCCCATCGAAATCCTCGATTTCCAGTACCGTGTATTGGAATATGTAATTCTCTTCGTCTATCACGTCGATTCGCTGCTTCGAGGTCTTCATGGGACTCACTACACATTATATAGAAATTTTGGAAGTTTTGAAATTTTAGAAAACTTAGGGTGTGTTTGGTTTCAATATCAAACCAAAATCATCTCAATAAAGATTCATTATTTCGTTTTACAAACTATCATATCAAAATATTGTTTAAACTGAAATTCAAAATTGAATCAAAATCAAATAAACTCTAACTATTTGATATAATATTTTAAGAAAGAAAAAACAAAATTGATATGACTTTTTTAAAAAAATTACTGTTAATAAATAATGACAAAAATTAGAAAATATCCATGTAAACAAATCTATAATTGGAAAAGTTATTGTTTATAATCGAAAAATTTATGAAGTCCATATTGTGTGTAAATATAGAGAAAATGGGTAGTTGTATATATATATATATATTTATTTTGATGTATTTTCTTTTTGTTATCGCAATGTAGTTAAAATTATTTTATGGAAATGCTAAAGATTGTATCATTTAATCAACAAAATAAGAGGCTATATATAGACAACATGAAACAGACAAAATAACTAAATCTATTGATAAGTTCATAATCTAAAGCTTACTAAATCTAAAAAGTAAACTAATAAGAATAATCTAAACAAATACTCCCAGAGTCCCCGCTCCTTTCCATTTTTGGTAACTTTATCAATCTTAAACATATTTAACAAATATAAATCAATTTAATTAAATTTATAACATATTATCCGTATAACCCACTCAAAACTCCTTTATTTCTATCTCTCTCCTCAATTAACATAATTTTTTTATCTATATTTAAAACTCCTCATTTTTTATAAAACTTATTTATTTGTATTATATAAAATTTTATTATCTACAAAATGATATTCATATTACATATATTTTTTCGAGATATTTAATCTTAAATCTTTTTTAAAATACCAATAATATTATTCATATAAAAAATAATAAACTAACATAATAATTTATTATTAATAACTTATTAATTTACACTACCTAAAAAACGTGTCCCTAATAAAAAGATTCATACCTCGCGGGAAGGAGGGAGTACTAAATTAAATTTAAATATAAAGTATCTCAACAACAATAGTCATATAAGTTTCAATTATTCACAATTTCGATTTTAATTACTTGTGTAGTTTGTAATTCTCGCCATTAGGATCAAAATAATGAACAGTGAAATTTAGTAACAAAACCATATTGCGAAATGATCGATATATACAAACATATATATATATATATATTTCTAGAACAAAATTTACAATTTTCTCACAACGTAATTTTGATAATATTACGTACCTTCACCAAAATGGACGATTTGGATAGTTCCAACACCACGGCCATCTCCCTCGAGGACTTGTATGCTTTTGATGGCTTCGGGCATGATTTCGCGAATGATGTTCTCGCTATCGAGGACAATTCCCTTCCAAACCCTGTGCGCCGGGACTGCCATGTTTATTTCTTCCTTGTAAATCAATTCCGATGCCATTGTCGAATAAGCTTAAACTCGGAGAAAAGAAATTAAATTTTATATTTTTATTTTTAATTTATTATTTATATGAGAGGGTTTTGATTGTATATATTGTTTGGTGTGGAAAGAATGATAGACAAGGGACTTTATTTATAGGAAGTTGATGAAATGAAATTATGAAAATTGCAATTCTATTACATAAATATTTTAACCACATTTTAGTCCTCTTTAAGTTTTGCTCTAAATAGACAGCACGTGCCATTCACATGAGTTATATTGAATTTAAAATTTAAAATGTTACACTTATAAGATTAAATTTTGAATGAAAATGTAATTATAAAAGTGACAATTGAATCGTATTAGACAAATATTACAAATGTGTGTTTTTGGATTGTGATTTTTATCTTACAAGAATTATCAAAACCTTCTTTCATTCAATGTTGTAATTTAAATTAATTAGAATAATGTTGGTTAGTGAATTTTATGTTTTTTAAAATAATTGATTTTAGTTTTTTTTATTTGAATATTAACTTAAATATAATATTTTGTGAAAAATAAAATAAAATTGAAAAATGGTTGCCAAAAGAACACTTCCACATTTAAAAGGGCGTGGGATTTGGATTACATTGAAAAGTTCCATTAAATTAAAGAGGTTTTATTGGGAATATATGTAATAAATTTTTTTGGTAACTTTCCACTTTAAAATTTCTTTATTCTTATTTTGATGAGATTTAATGAATTTTGTAATAAAATATATTACGTACGTAAGAGTTAGTAAATATGTTACATACTCCCTCCGACTCTTAATAGATATCATTTTTTTTTTCACGGAATTTAAAGTATATTATTATTATATTGATATATAGTGAAATATATAGTAGAAATGACTAAAAATATTTTATTTGTATTATATAGTATAAATGTAATGATATTTGTGTAATATATGGTAAGTTGTAAAGACATTTGTAATGTTATGTAGATAATACAATTATTAAAAAAATGAAATGAATACTTTGTTATAAAACAGATTTAAATGTAAAACGTAGAGAGTATATAAGATTTATTAAACATATTATTATATTTATTATTTATAAATTCAATACTTTTCAACATTCATTATTTTTATATTCTCTAGGCAATTTTTTTATACTTCACATATATATTTTTTTTTAATTTTCAACTATTTCACAAAACAAACACACTAATTTAATTTCTTGTATTCGTGATTTTTTTTTTTCAAAAGATATCAAATCACACATTTATTTTTATCTTTTATACATTACAATAAAAATAATTTTATATTCAAAATATCATATCAATTACTATTTATATCATATTACGCAATTATTTAAATTCAAAATTTTACTATTCAAATCAAAATAAAAAATCAAAATCCCAAGCAAACGCATTTATTTTTATCAAATATATTGAATAAAATATTATTTTTACACCATGTTAATTATTATAATAATTTATAATCTCAAAATTTATTCATATATTGTTATAATTTAGGGCGTGTTTGTTTGTATTTCGGTTTGAAAAGAAATTTTTTATTCGACGTATAGAGAATTGTGTAAATAATATAAAAATAATGAATGTATGTAGTATATTATTTTATTTTTTTGAGGAAATGTGTTGGAAATTTTTTTCAAAGCAAAATTTTATAAAATCACAATTAATATTCATTCTGCCCGCCTCTAAGGGTTATATTATATTTTGCGTTATTGTATTTAACATTTGAAATATCCTTGTATTTTTGTAATTTTTTTGTACAAATATCATAATATTAGTATTATATGACACTAATAAAAATATTTTTTCCTTTTCCCCTTGATTTATACTATGTTTTAATATAATAATTAATATTAAAAAATTAGCACTGCAAAAATTAAATATTTCCCTTAAAGTCGGATAAAAATAATATAAATTTTTTCGTAAAAAAAATATCTTTATATAATATAAAAAAATATATTATATACCATTAATACAAGTTAATGTAAAAAACATAGTATAATAATAATAATAATAATAATAATAATATAAACTTCAATATATATTGTTGAGCACAAATAATAATAATAATAATAATAATAATAATAATAATAATAATAATGGCATTAGGATTTTGGATGGGTCTGAATATAAGCCAAGCGGCTCAAAAGTCGGGCGAAGATGAAGTATCGGCAGACACGGAGGTCGGACAGGATAAGGTCGGGCAAAGAAGGATGATTCGGCAGACACGGAGGTCGGACAAGATAAAGTCGGGCACGGAGATCAGACATGATAAGGTCAGGCACGGAGGTCTGACATGATAAGGTCGGGCTCTGAGGCCGGACATGATAAGGTCAGGCACGGAGGTCGGACATGATAAGATCAGACACGGAAGAAATAATAGGCATCCAGATCGGACGGCATATAGGTCGGGCGAAATGAAGTCGGGCAATGAGAGGACGGATGAAGGAAATGATATGCATCCAGGTCGAACGACATATAGGTCGGGCAAGATGAAGTCGGGCGAAGATAGGATCGATACGGAGGTCGGTCAAAAGTCTGTTAATTGGTCGGGCGAATGAAGGGTCTATTGGTTGGGCGCTTAATTAAGCGACCTGTTAATCGCCTAATCGATTCGCCGGTCACTTGGTCAAACAGTAGTTCAGTCGCTTGAAAAGGCAGTTAGTTGGTCGCTTGATTGGACGACCAACGAATCGTCTGGACGAATGGTTGTTCAGACGATTGAAGGGACCAGATGGTGGTCGCTTGATTGGGCGACTAATGAGTCGTTTGGTCTAACTACCAGTTACTATCTGGATTGGTCGGTTGGCCTGCAGTCCGCCTAAGGAGTCAGGGGTTATTTTGGACGGCTGAGTAGCCGGTCGGACCAGCCACCCATTTAAGGCGGTGAGGTTTTCAGAGGCGGTCGGCCGAGTCAGTTGAGTGATGTAACTGGCGAGAGCGGTTGGTGAGTCGGTTAACACACGTATCAACATAGGAGGACCTGGTGGCGGTTGACAGCGGTTGCTGTAACCGACCAGACGACGGTTCAAACCGTTTCTTTAAGGGGTTATTTAAGGATTCGGGTCTGTTCTGACAAATCATCTTCAATCGACAATCAAATTCAAGAAATTGCTTTTGGAGATCACCATTTACTTTTTCAGTATGTAGTATTTATTTTCCTAGTTTATCTATGTATCCTATAGTGTCTAGTTATTCTTAATCTCAAACATTTATTTTATCAAATTCAAAGATAATTTCTATTTTCGGATTTTACTTTTTATTGTTGAAAAATTGCATCAACAATTTGGCGACCACAGTGGGAGAAAGGCAAGATTGCTGATCCTACGTCAAGCGAGAATTTTATACGACTGAGGTCCGGCCGAATCATTAGAAGGATCCATATGGCAGGCTCACAGCCCCAAGTCGCTTCAACACCAGTGGGGGAAACAATTTCACTACCTGCTATGCCGAATGCAGGGGAAGCACCACAAGTACCTGCCGATTGGGTGTCTTATATTCAACAATTGAACAACCAGCATACTCTGGTTATGCAAAACATGTTGCGTGAGCAACAAAACCTTATGCAAAATATGCTAGATCAGACTTTATCAAGGATTACTCTGCAACCCATTCAGTCACCGCCAGGGATTTCACCATCCAGATTACAAGCAAATTTTACAGGGCTTTCATATGTAGACAACACTCTTCCAAGTGCCACTACTAGGGTTGACAGGGGAAAAACTCTTCTAACATACCCAAATAATGTTCTATTGGATGTCAGAGCCGAACCAGCCTTCTCTAGGGAAGAGAGGTTGGGGGAACCGACTCGTAATCCCATCCCAAACCAGCCTTCTCTGGGGAAGAGAGGTTTGGGGAACATACTCATAATCCCATCCCAACAGAGCTGCCTTCTCTAGGGAAGAGAGGTTGGGGGACATGCCCATAATCCCATTCCCGTGTTCGATCCTATTCCACCTAGAGTGAATCCGAAAGACATCGCTCAAGTTCTGCGGGTGCATTTCAGAATGAATTCGCAAACAATGAATAGGCCGGCATAAACACAGTGCCACATATATATATATATATATTATTTTAAATAGTACTCATTACATTGTAGACAAATAAATAGATTTAATTTAATTTTTCTTATTTAAGATTGAAATAATTTAATAATATGAAATAAGAAGTATTATACATTGTTTGTTCTTTAACTATTTACTTATATTAAAAAATTCATTTGTCTGTAAGACGATTGCGAGTATAAAAAATTTAATTTCATCTAAATTAAAATATATGTAATTTTTTTGCCATTACTATACTAAAATAAATGATAAATGAATATTTACATCGACATATCAAATTTAAATCATAATATTTACATACAAAAGTATCGCAAACTGTTTATTTTCTTCAAAATATTTATTTTTAACACATTCAATTATATTTTAATTTAAAATTTTACAGTAATATATATTTATATCACATTAAATAATTATTTTAATTTAAAATTTTACTATTATCACAATAACAATATATTACTACATAATAATAATAATAACAATAATAATAGTTGAATATTATTATGATATAATATATCGTGAGCGGCAACCACATAAATTTTATTTTTAAAAATTTCGAAAAATGAAAAATCGAAGAATATGTGCAACATATATTGATGATTTAATTATAATAATGTACATGTTATGAATAGAGAATATTTACATATTGTATGCATTGATTTGGTATTGTCGGAATTATGTAATTTTATTTCATAAATTATTAGTATAAAAATATCATAAAATATTCTAAAGTAAACAAAACATATCATTCAATGTAATAAAAGACGACTATCATACATTTTAAATATGGATCTCATTAAGAGAATCAATACAACTTTAAATCATAATGGGTTCCTATACTTTAAAGTAGACGCATCTACTCTTTCATCGGGTAGACTACTCCAACTCTTCTAACGTAGATGGAATGCGCCTTCTACAGAAGGTTGTGCCAAATAAAATTAAAGG